CCGGTGCCCATCCAAAGACTTTTGGTTCAGGCCAGCAACGGCTGGTGACATTAGCTGGTCAGAGAGGTGGCATCAGCTGCCTAGAGAGGTGGTTTCGCTCCCCTTCGCTAGCAGCTTTCAAGAAGAGGCTGGAGGAATATTTGTCAGGGATGCTCTAGGCTGGTCCTGCATTGGGCAGGGGGTTGGACTAGATGGTCTCTAGGGGACCCTTCAAATTCTCTGTGTGGTTCTATGAAGGGTGATGCAGGCTGAGGATACTGGGCACAGATTTGCTTCTTTAACAAATCTCTCCTGCACAGTTTGGGTCCAGCCGCTTGGCTCTTGCCAACCTTGACCATCTTAACCTGTGGATAAGCACAATGGGGACTCAGAAGCGGCTAAAATCTTTAAGTCAGGGATGCTCTAGGCTGGCCCTGCATTGGGCAGGGGGTTGGACTAGAGCAGTGGTGGCGAACCTATGGCACGGGTGCCAGAGGTGGCACTCAAAGCCCTCTCTGTGGGCACGCGTGCCATCGCCCCAGCCAGGCCCAGACCGTTGTTAAAGTGTCGAATTCTCTGCCAAATAATTTTAAGTAAATGAAAGCATTTGGGATTGCTTTCCTTACTATGTTCGGATCATCTTAAGTTAATGTTTGAGTTGTTTTTTCTAAAGTAAAACCTCAGTTTTTAGGTTAAATTGCCGTGTTGGCACTCTGTGATCAATAAGTGGGTTTTGGGTCGCAGTTTGGGCACTTGGCCTCTAAAAGGTTCGCCATCACTGGACTAGATGGTCCGCAGGGCCCCTTCAAACTCTATCGTTCTGTGATTCTGCGATTCCCTCCCCCTTCCTTCCCTATATATATATTGTGTTTCAGTTTCCTTCTCACCGCCCACCAGCCAGGCAGTCCAGTCGCTGCCTGGGATTTTTACTCTGATTTCACTTCTTATTCACCGTATTTGGATTTTAAAATTTGTCTTTCGTTTGATGGCGTTTTGCCTTTTCTGTACATCGCCCAGAGCCCAGCATAAGCTAGGAGAGGGAGATTAATAAAGCAAATCAGCAACAACAACAATAGTGTGTGTGTGTGTGTGTGTGTGTCCCCCCGCCCCCCCGGGGCTCCTGTGCTCAGCCAAGAATCAACCACTCCTCCGATGGAGAATCATTCGCCTTGGGGTGACATTCCCCGTCCTTCCGCACCCTCAAGACTGCTGGGGAGGGGGGGGGGGAGTTGCACCAACCTGGTGGTGGAAAGTCCCGTCAGGTCACAGCCAGCTTACGGCGACCCCCGTAAGGTATTCAGAGGTGGTGTTGCCCTGGCCTGCCTCTGCGTAGTGACCCTGGACTTCTTTAGTGGTCTCCCATTCAAGCACTGGCCACAACTGACCCCGCTTAGCTTCCGAGACCCAATGAGATGGGGCCGGCCTGGGCCATCCAGGGTCAGGGCAAAGCCAGGTTCGGTGAGGGTGGAAAAATGCTGTCAAGTCGCAGCTCGTTTATGGCGACCCCCAAAGCTTTTCAGGGCAAGAGACGTTCGGCGGTGGTTGGCCATTGCCTGCCTCTGCGTAGCAACCCTGGACTTGCTTGGTTGTCTCCCATCCAAATACTAACCAGGGCCGACCCTGCTTAGCTTCCGAGATCTGAGGCAATTGGCCCAGCCTGGGCCTCCCAGGTCAGGTCATCAACCTCCCTCCCTTAAAAAGAAGCCCCGCCCCCACTGTCCAGGGCCCCGGAATCCTTCTGCCCACCCCCACCCCCCGCCCACCCCGGAGGCCAAATGCCCCTTAAGCTCCCTGGGCTGGGAGGCTCCCCCGCGGCCCACGGAAGCCGTCCAACCCGCAGACGCCGTACCTCATCCAGGCCCCTCAGCAAGACGTGGTCTGTCCACCAGTAGTCCAGGGAGATCTGCATTCCCAGCCCCACGGACCTGGGGGAAGAGCAGAGAGACCCCTTACAGTGCCCCCCTCCTTCAGTACCTGCCCCCCCCCCAGCCTGCCCGCCCACCCGTGCCCCTCCTGGCTGGGCCGGAGGGCGGGATGCCAAGTGAGGCCAAACTGCGGCTCTTTGCATGCCAAGGCCTGGACACCCAGGCTCAGCCCCGCAACCTACCCAGTACAATAAGGGTTTGCCTGTTCAGGCGCAGAGAGCCAGTCTGGTGTAGTGATTAAGTGCGCGGACTTTGATCTGGGAGATCCGGGTTTGATTCCCCACTCCTCCACTTGCACCTGGCTGGATGACCTTGGGCAAGCCGTAGTTCTGATAAGAGCTGTTCTTGAAAAAGGGCAGTTTCTGTCAAGAGCTCTCTCAGCCCCGCCGACCTCCCAGGGTGTCTGTTGTTGGGAGGGGGAGGGAAAGGAGTTTGTCAGCTGCTCTGAGACTCCTTTGGGTACTGAAGGGTGGGGGTATGAATCCACGCTCTTCTCCTTCTTCTTCTCTCCCCCTCTCTCTTATGTAGTCCTGCCATATGAACACATATACGAAGCCACCTTCTACTGAATCAGACTCTTGGTCTGTCCAGGTCAGTCTTGTCTACTCGGACTGGCAGCCGCTCTCCAGAGTCTCAGAAGAAGAGATTGGATTTACACCCTGCCCTTCACTCGGAGTCTCAGAGCGGCTTACAATCTCCTTCCCTTCCTCTCCCCACAACAGACACCCCATGAGACAGGCGGGGCTGAGAGAGTTCTGAGAGAAACTGCTCTTGAGAGAACAGCTCTGAGAGAACTGTGGCTTGCCCGAGGTTACCCAGCTGGCTGCATGTGGAGGAGGAGAGGGGAATCAAACCCGGTTCTCCCAGATTAGGGTCTGCGCTCCTAACCACCCCACCAGACTGGCTCTTTCACGCCACCTACTTCCTGGTCCTTTCAACTGGAGATGCCAGGGATTGAACTTGGGGACTCCTGCGTGTCAAGCAGAGCCTCTCCAAAACACACACGAAGCGGCCTTCTACCGAATCAGTCCATCAAGGTCAGTCTTGCCTACTCAGACTAGCAGCGGCTCTCCGGCATCTCCGGCAGAGAAAGGGTTTTCCCATCACCTCTTGCCTGGTCCTTTTAGCTGGAGATGCTGCCGGGGATTGAACCTGGGACCTTCTGCATGCCAAGCAGAGGCTCCTCCACTGAGCCACGGCCCCTCTATCCAGCTCTCCAGGGTCTCAGGTGGAGGTCTTTCACATCACCTCCTGGCTGGTCCTTTTTAGCTGGAGATGCTGCCAGGGATTGAACCGGGGACCTTCTGCACACCAAGCAAAGGCTCCTCCACTGAGCCACGGCCCCTCAGCCACGTCCGGGGTTTGGGGATCCCAATCACCGCCCTGTCTCTCTCCTGCACCCGTAGCTCCCGAAGCCGGGGGAAAGGCCGCCGGAGCCAATGCCCACCTGACAAAGCGCCCCATGCCGTCCACCAGGAGCCTCATCTTCCGGCGTTCTTGCTTCTCGGCCAGGGCGTACCGAACCCCGCCCACCAGCGGGATCCCCAAGAGCACCCCCAGGAACGTCCTCTTCAGCAGCCCCCTCCGGGCTGGAAATCTGGAAAGAGATCGGGGAAGACGTCAGCCGACTCAGCCGGGGGGCGGCGCTGGAAAGCAAGGGCAATGCCAAGACCTGGGGGCATGGAAGTGCCCTCCCCGGAGCAGGGCCCTGCGGACCCAGGTTCGCGGGTGCTTTGTACATAGGACGAGCCTACGGTGCTGATTAGGCGAATGGGTTGGGCTCCACAGGAAAACTTCCAGGTGAAAAGACCCCGCATCCCCCACGCGCCTCTTTTAGCCAGAGAACAGCTCTCCTGAAAACCGAATGCGCTGCAAAACGTCAAAGGCCGCAGAAGGGGCAGGTGTCGAGGTGTTCACCTGCAGCTTTGTCAGTCTCCCTCCCAGGAGACCCCACGCCCCCCTCAAGGGTTTGCTCAGACCAAGGCAAAGGCCTCTTGCTCGTTCAGGCTGGTCTTGAGAGCAGAGGCACTGACCGACATCAGGGAGGCTCTGTGTGGGGCATGCAGAAAAAAACCCAGATGGAAACAGGGCTGCCTGGAAGCACTGGAATTGGGGCCAGGAAGAACCCACGCCCAGTAGCCCCACGGACAGACAGAGCGGCAGGGTCCCCTCCGTCCCGTCCCCGCCTACCTGGAGGGCTGGGAACCCGAGCGATGCCTGCACTGGCGGGCCGACGGCAGCCAGGAGTCCTCCTTGCCTCGCAGCAGGAGCAGATGGAAGCGGCAGATCTGGACCTGGAAAGAGGGAACATGAGCGGCTGGCTCGAACGGCTGCAACGCGGAGCAACTCGGTTGACGGAGCAGCTCCCTGGCCGATCGGGCAGAGCCCGTTTGCAGGGAGGGCGGGGTATAAATATAATAAAATAAATTTAAAAATAAATAAATAGAAGCAGGGCGATGCAGGGGGAACTCACTGCCACAAGACGGCCCTTGCCTCCGAGAACGTTGGAACCCACTCTGGCCTCCGCAACTCTATGGTTTTCAATATACAGACCAGGTTTATCTGCACACAGAAGTAAAACCTCTGAGGGCTTCCTTTACAGGCATGAGGTTTTTTGTCTGTGCTCAGTTAATGGTCCTTAGGCTTCGGTTCCTTCTGGTGGCTCTGGGCTCTTGAAACCCTCAGGCCCTGGTGACTGAATGTCCCACCGTTGACTGTGACCACTCTCTGTCTAACTGAAGAAGGGAGCCGTGACTCCCGAAAGCCCCTGCCCCCTGGCCCAAGGTCTGTTAGTCTTTCAGGTGCTCCTGGACTCTGGCTCTTTCCTACTGTGTAGGAGGAGGAAGAGGAGATTGGATTTATACCTCGCCTTTCAGAGCGGCTGACAAACTCCTTTTCCTCCCCACAACAGACACCCCCTGTGAGGCAGGTGGGGCTGAGAGAGCTCTTGACAGAAGCTGCTCTTTTTCAAGGACAGCTCTTGTCAGAACTAGGGCTTGCCCAAGGTCATCCAGCAGCTGCAAGTGGAGGAGTGGAGAATCAAACCCGGTTCTCCCAGATCAGAGTCCACGCACTTAACCACTACACCAAACTGGCTCTCATGTAACACACTCAGTTAACCTAGCTGCACAGGTTAATAGGGTTAGAATCATAAAGTCTGAAGGGACATCCAGGGTCATCTAGTCCAACCCCCTGCACAAGGCAGGGAATTCACAACTACCTCCCCCACACACACACACCTGCAGTGACCCCCTGCTCCATGCCCAGAAGATGACAAAAAACCTCCAGGATCCCCGGCCAAAATGGCCTGGAGAAAAGTTGCTTCCTGACCCCAAAGTGGGGATCGGCATTTCCCTGGGCGAGTAAGAAAGGGCCGCGAGAACTAAGCCCTGAGGCAACCCTTCCTGCCCTCCCTCTCGTGATCTACAGAAGTTCACAGAACCAGCACTGCTGTCAGATGGGGCCATCCAGCCTCTGCTTCAGAAGGGTTTTACAAACGTGCTTGGATAAATGATTAAGGACTGCGGTCTACGCCGTTGTGTACGGCTGATTGTAAGCAGGATCCTATCGGTGTCATTTCTGTAACACCCTTAAAAGTGTTATGCAAATACTTATGCGGTGTTTCAGTTTCTTCTGATGATTCCAGACTCTGGAAACCCTCATGCACTGCTTACTGAATGTCTCGTTTTGTTGACTGTTGTGGCTCACCCCGTATAGCCTGCCTTGACTCAATAAATAAATAACCACACACAGAAGAGAAGAGATTGGATTTATACCCCATGGCCCTTCACTACCTGAAGGTGTCTCAGAGCAGCTTACAAACTCCTTTCCCTTCCCCTCCCCACAACAGACACACCCTGTGAGGTAGGTGGGGCTGAGAGAGCTCTGACAGAAACTGCTCTTTTTTTCAAGGACAGCTCTTATCAGAACTACAGATTGCCCAAGGTCATCCAGCCAGGTGCAAGTGGAGGAGTGGGGGAATCAAACCCAGTTCTCCCAGATTAGAGTTGGCACATTTAACCACTACACCAAACTGAAGTAGAAGAGATTGGATTCATACCCCGCCCTTCATTACCCAAAGGAGGCTTACAAACTCCTTTTCCCTTCCCCTCCCCACAAAAGACGCCCTGTGAGGTAGGCGGGGCTGAGAGAGCTCTGACAGAAACTGCTCTTTTTTCAAGAACAGCTCTTATCAGAGCTACAGCTTGCCCAAGGTAGCTGTGAGTGGAGGCGTGGGGAATCAAACCCGGTTCTCCCAGATTAGAGTCCGTGCACTTAACCACGACACCAAACTGGCTACATAGGACCAGTGTTCCCTCTAAACTGAGTGAGTGTGAGCTAGCTCGCAGTTCTTTAGCCTCCGGCTCACACATTTTTGCCTTAGCTCAGGGAGGAGGGCTCCAGAGCAAACTAGTTTCTGCAGCAGCCAAATCGCTCGCTCACAACTTTAATGCCCGGTAGCTCACAAAGTAGGATTTTCCGCACAAGACTCCACAGCTTGGAGGGAGCCTTGCATAGGACGCTAATCAGCGTATCGTTTCAGAGGGCGGCCGGGTTGGTCTGCAGGCTGAGAGACCAACAAGATGTGGAGGGGGAGGGGTGAGGTTTGAAGACTCGAAGCTCCCTTCGTCAGATATTTGACTCTCGAAAGCTTCTACCCCCCAAGATCTCATTGGTCTCTAAGGCGCCGCTGGACTCAAACCCAGCTCATCTGTGCATCACCTGTGCTGCAGCGATGAAGACAGGAAGCCGCAGGCAGAGGGAAACCTGGATAGGGCATGTGGCACCTGGATAGGGCACGTGTGTCTCTGTGGGCACGCATGGCAAGAAAGCAGAGAGCACGCGATGCCCACTTTTGGGGCACTCTGCATCCCCCCCCAATACACACGCACACAGCTGGGTTCCCACATTCACTGCACACGAAGAGTCAATACACCGGTCAGGGTTCCTGTACACGAACCCACAAAGCTGCCTTATACTGAACCAGACCTTTGATCCATCAAGGGCGGTAGTGAGAAGAAGTTGGATTCATCCCCCGCCCTTCACTCGGAGTCTCAGAGTGGCTTACAATCTCCTTACCCCCACCCTCCACACAGCAGACACCCTGTGAGGGAGGTGGGGCCGAGAGAGCTCTCTCGAGGACTGCCCTTGAGAGAACTGCTCTCAGAGAACTTGTGACTGGCCCAAGGTCACACCAGCAGCTGCAAGTGGAGGAGTGGGGACTCAAACCCGGTTCTCCCAGATTAGAATCCGCACACTTAACCACAGCACCAGACCGGCAGTGGCTCTCGAGGGTCTCCGGCAGAGGTCTTTCACATCCCCCTACTGCCTGGACCTTTTTGACGGGAGATGCTGCAGGGCTCTGAAGGAGGAAACTTCTCCTTCCCTCCCTACCCCCGAGGGGAATTAGAGAAGAACCACAATGACCAGAGGTCAGGAGGCATAACCCTCCCACTCCAATTTCTGTACTGCAAATACCTCCGTGGGGCTTTTGACCTCCCTGTGGGGTCCCAGTGCCTTGCCGGTAAATCAGCACCCATGGAGCTGCCTTAGGGGGAACCCGACTATCCGTCTCTCAAGGTCAACACTACTCAGGCTGGCCAGTCGCTCTCCAGGGTCTCAGGCCATATATCTTTCGCGTCACCTGATGTCTGGTCCCTTTAACTGGAGATACCAGGCCTTGAACCCGGGGCCTTCCCCGGCCGAAGCAGATGTTCATCCACTGAGCCACAGCCCCTCCTACCACTGGCCTTTGGGATGCAAAACCAGAGGGTCTACTTGGTGAGTTGTTGTTGTTGTTCAGTCACACAGTCGAGTCCGACTCTTCACGACCCCATGGACAAGATCTCGCCAGGCCCTCCTGTTTTCCGCCATCCTCTGAAGTTTGCTCAATTTCATGTTCGTTGCATCGATGACACTGTCTAGCCATCTCATCCTTTGCCGTCCCCGTCTTCTTTGACCTTCAATCTTACCCAGCATCAGGGTCTTCTCCAGGGAGTGCTCCCTTCTCATTGGGTGGCCAAAGTATTTGAGCTTCAGTTTCATTATCTGGCCTTCCAGGGAACAGTCAGGGTTGATTTCTCCTTGGGGTTTTCTTGGCAAAGATGCTGGAGTGGGTTGCCATTTCCTTCTCCAGGGGATCATTCTTGGTCTGAGTTCTCGGCTGTGGCCTGTCCGTCTTGTGTGGCCCTCCACATCTTCATCGAACCACGCAAGCCCCCTCACCACGACAAGGCAGTGATCCATGAGGGGGACTTGGTGAGTTACTGACATCAAAGTTGTGAGCGAGCGATTGGGCTGCTGCATCAATGAGTTTGCTCTGGAGCCCCATCCCTTCCTGAGCTGAGACAAAAAAATGTGCGAGCCGGAGGCTAAAAAACTGTGAGCCGGCTCACACCGACTCAGCTTAGGGGGAACACTGCCCTGCACCCCCAGCTCTGGCCCCCACCAAGACCCAGGGCTCTGCTGTTGCGCTGGCTGGGTGACATTTCAGAAGGACGAAGGTCAAAGAAAGAGAGGGGAGGAAACGCAGGACCCTCAACGATTTTGCTCCTTGGGTGGAACTGCTCGGGAGGAGCCAGGAGGAGACCAACATTCAGCCTCCAAGATGGCAGGGAAGGGGGAGGCCCCGTCAGATGGACTCCGCAACGCCAAGGTTCCTGGTACAACCAAGCCAGGCACACAACTTCTGCCCGACAGCCCGGATTTCCCAGCTACATCTGGCAGAAGAGGCCCGAAGGAGAAGGGGGTGGGGGGAGGAGAGACCTTGATCCCTTGTTCTCAGCATAACGGCGGAAGCCGCCAAGGTCCCTGGGCATTTTATCACCCAGGACAGCTGCGAGACAGCTCGAGGCAAGAGAACAGCGGGCCCACAGCCTCTCTTCATGCCAAAAAAGGGTTATTTGTTTTGCAAAGCACTCAGGATCTCCATACGGCACCGAACCCAAGCCAGAGACTCTCCCTGCAGGAAGGCAAAGCCGGGGAGCACCCACGGCCGGATCGTCACCCCAGGTGCCACTCGCACAGCACTCCAAAGGCGTCCCAAGCAGGACTGGGGGGGGGATCCTAGCTGGCACCCTGAAAGTCCGGGGGTGTCGGTAATCCCAAACTTGGTATCCGATGCCACCCACGGGTAGATGCCCCCCATCCCTGCCGCTCATCCCTGCCCGGTCCGGGAGAGGCAATTGAACTTCTGCACCAGGGTCTGAAATCCAGGATGGGCGGCGACAAACCGAAACCGAGTTCAAATGAGACACAGATTGGAGAGGCGGCACCCTCAGGGCAGGAGTCTTTTCACAAGCAACGCTGTGATCCTGCTGCGCCCTGCTGGGCCACACCTGCCTGTGCTTTCTCAAAGGGCTTTCAGAGCGCAGACGTCCTCGCTCCGCTGCGTCTTTCTCCTGTCGGCCCTCCGCGGATATCTGTGTGGGCAGATGACTCACGCTACACTGCTGACTTGGTGAAGTTTTCCCGCCGGTTTTTGCTGTCTTAAATTTGTTGTTAAGCCACCTTGGGGATTCCTGCATAAGCCAGAAGGGGGACTGACTCCCACTGCCCTCAGCTAAGCATATGGTGGTATCCTTCCGGCACAAGGAGTCGCCTGTGGGCGTCTGGGACAAAGAGGCATACACGGCCCTGAGAGAGCAGCCGACCTGAGGCCGGCTGCAAATGGCGCCTATTCTAGCTCAGTCCATTCGTCCCTGGGCTGGACCGTCCCTGACGCCAGGCAACAGCGGAGGGCCAGATATCCAGCGCATCTCCACTGCCGAAGGGGAAAACCTGTCCGGCTGCAACTTTGTGTGGCAGCAAAGCGGTTTCTTAAGGCAGGCCCAGAGGCAAGACCCTCTGCTCCTAAAAAGCAACACAAGGATGCCATATCTGCTAATATCCAAATATGGCAATTAGGGGCCACAACTGGGCCAAGGAGCCAAACCCACGGTCCAGCCACTGGGACTTTCCCTCCCCCCCCCGTTTCTAATCAGACAGCAGCCCAACACCTGCACATTCAAGACCTGAGCGCCACAGACCTAACCTCCCGCTTCTTCAACACGAGGAAAGCAGAGATTCTCAAGAGTGTCAGATCCTGCAGTGGGTGACTGTTAATATGCTGTGCATGCTGGAGTCAGCGGTACCCACAAACCTCCACCGGCAATGCCACTGGCCAGCACGGCAAGGATAAGAAGAAGAAGAGGCGGAGGAGGAGATTGGATCTATACCCCGCCCTTCACTTGGAGTCTCAGAGCGGCTTATAAACTCCTTTCCCTTCCCCTCCCCACAACAGACACACCCTGTGAGGTCGGTGGGGCTGAGAGAACTCTGACACAAACTGCTCTTTTTCAAGGACAGCTGTGTCAGAGCTTGTGACTGACCCAAGGTCACACCAGCAGCTGCAAGTGGAGGAGTGGGGAATCAAACCCGGTTCTCCCAGATTAGAGTCCGCGCACTTAACCACTACACCAAACTGGCGTGTGTGACGGGACCTCTAGGGACACCGGACAGGAAGGCGTCTCCCAGTGGCAGGGTGGTGGATTGCCCTGCCTGGCAACTGCGGGACATTTGCGACTGGAAAGCACAAGGGTGCCGGGGGCCACACCTCCCTGCCAGGCCTGTGTCCAACAAGGGTCGCGTGTGTCTCTGTCAGGAAGGAGAACAGGAGAGACACAAACATCCTTACAGCGGAGACGCCAGGCCAGGGGTGGCCAAACTGCGGCTCGGGAGCCCCATGCGGCTCTTTCACACCTATTGTGCGGCTCCTGGCAGGGCAGCTGGGGAAGCGAAGGGGAGGCAGACTTTTTCTCCCTCCCATCTGTTTGCTTTCTTTGTTTCTCTCTCTCTCTCTTTCTTTCCACCTCTTTCGTTCTTTCCATCTTTCTCTCTCAGACAAAACAGTATTATTAGCAAACAAATAAATATCGTTATCAATATCTGTTCTGACCCCTTTTCTCTTTATTTCTGGCAACCTCATTTAACCTTAATAAAAAGCTAATCTACATATTTAAAAAAATCAAAACGTGAATGTAATATTGGTTCCTGTCTTGCTGCTCTCAAACATCTGACGTTTATTCTACGGGGCTCTTAGGTTAAGCGAGTTTGGCCACTCCTGTGCCAGACTCTGGTGCCAGGGCCGGGCAGGGGCCACAGGTGGCTGCGCCCAAGTCTAGGCCGGGAGGGTGCCTCACGCTCACGGGGCCCTCCGAAACCAGCCGGGAGTTGGGCACGCGGAATGTGCCACGCAGTTGCCCAGGCAAAGGTAGGTGGACGGGGGCAGCCGGCTTGCAGGCACAGCCCAGTTTGACCTCCGATGCAAAGGGCAGCCCTTCACGCTCCGGGCCTCCAACCCAAACCAGGGCAGGGAAAATGCTAGGGGAAAGGGGCGTCCGGATGGGCACACCGCAGATGCCAGCGCCACTCTCCTGTTCCTCCCTGGAGAGGGCGGGTTTATCTGTTTATGCCATTTACCTAGATGGGGGTGGAGCAGCAGAGCGATGCTTGGGTCCAGCAGCTCCTTTAAGACCAACCAAGTCTTATGCCCGGGCCAAGCTTTCGTGGGCATGCACGGATCAGAGGAAGGGGGCTGGCACGCAAAAGCCTAGATCTAGAACTCAACTCAGTCGGTCCTCAAGGTGCCAAGACTGGACTCGCCCTTCGCCCTCCAGAAGGAATCCATCCACCACCACCCCAGGAACTTTGGGGAGCCTTCGGGACGCAGCAGCCCTCTCCACGGCCGTGCCCGGGCGACCTGCTTCAGGACCCCCCCCCCAACTCCAGGCCCAGGGAGGGCAGGGGCAGGCCCCTCCACCCATGCTCCCTCTAAGCTGTGGAGTCTTGTGAGCAGAATTTCTGCTTCCTGAGCTCCTGGCGTTACAGTTGCGAGGGAGCCCGTCGGCTGCTGCATCAATCCGTTTGGTCCGGAGCCCCCTCCTTCCTGAGCTGAGCCGGAGGGGAGAAAAGTTGCGAGCGAGCGAACTGGCTGCTGCATCACTGAGTTTGCTCCGGAGCAGGGAAAAGTGTGTGCGCCGGAGGCTAGAAAACGGTGAGCCTCACTCACACCGACTCAGCTGAGAGGGAACCCTGCCCCCCCACCCCGACCCTTCCCCTCCTCGAACGGGGCTCTCTCCCTTC